GCCAGGCACAGCTGGCAGCTCAAGGACTGGGCCTGGCACACTGCTCCTGCAGCAGGAGTTCCTTGGCCCATTCTCCATGTGTCTCCAGGGCCATGTGGCAAATGTTGTTCTCATCCGTGGGGGAGCTCCCACTGGTGTTCTGAGTGTGGACAAAGAACTTGAGTGGAAGGACTTGGGAAGCTGCTGAGTAAGAGATTTTTGCTCTGGGCAAGACTCAGTTTCTGGATAATTTGACTAAACTGATGCACCAGGGAGTAAAGAGTGTCAGCACAGATCTCATATGCTGATGGCTGGGTGGTCTCCCACAGAGCTGAGCTGAAGCATTTTGTTGAAAAGGTGGTGTGGAGGTGGCTGAGGTTCTGGTCAGCTCTGTCCATCAGGCATAAACTCAGTGGGTGCTCCATGTGAAATGTCTGGATGTGGCACTTGGTGCTCTGGTCTAGCTGGCAAAGTAGTGATTGATCAAAGGTTGAATTCTATATTGGAGGTCTTTTCCAACCTAAATGATCCTGTTGCTCTTAAGGTTTTATCCAAGGCAATAAACTGTCATTTGTCATCAGCATGGTGGTTATTTTCCCAGAGCCCTTTTTTCCCTGAGCTGCCACCACCAGCAATCCTTGGGGCTCATCTTATATTCATGTCTTACAGAATGGGCATGGGCAAGTGTCTCCAGGGCCGTGTGGCAAATGTTGTTCTCAGCCGTGGGGGAGCTCCCACTGGTGTTCTGAGTGTGGACAAAGAACTTGAGTGGAAGGACTTGGGAAGCTGCTGAGTAAGAGATTTTTGCTCTGGGCAAGACTCAGTTTCTGGATAATTTGACTAAACTGATGCACCAGGGAGTAAAGAGTGTCAGCACAGATCTCATATGCTGATGGCTGGGTGGTCTCCCACAGAGCTGAGCTGAAGCATTTTGTTGAAAAGGTGGTGTGGAGGTGGCTGAGGTTCTGGTCAGCTCTGTCCATCAGGCATAAACTCAGTGGGTGCTCCATGTGAAATGTCTGGATGTGGCACTTGGTGCTCTGGTCTAGCTGGCAAAGTAGTGATTGATCAAAGGTTGAATTCTATATTGGAGGTCTTTTCCAACCTAAATGATCCTGTTGCTCTTAAGGTTTTATCCAAGGCAATAAACTGTCATTTGTCATCAGCATGGTGGTTATTTTCCCAGAGCCCTTTTTTCCCTGAGCTGCCACCACCAGCAATCCTTGGGGCTCATCTTATATTCATGTCTTACAGAATGGGCATGGGCAAAGCTGCTAGGAAGGTCTACATATCAAATGTCTGCAAATTACAGTGTACAGAGAAGTGCTGTGTGCTCCAAGTTCCTGGGCAGGTGCTTAAATTGCATGTCTTAGCTGGTGGATGGAATAGTAAAAGCTGTTCTTAGTGCTTGGATTGGACATCTTGCTGTTGGGACACTTTGCCAAAGTGTGCTCTGAATTGCAGCTTGTGCTGGTGGAGTGATCTGCTTGTTAGGGTAAACTCACATTCAGTGATTGGTAGTGGGATTTAAAGGATAATTTGGGGTCTCCAGGTAGAGATGACCTCAAGAGTTGAAACCATCACTGTGGGCTCATTGTAGCTGCTTGTTCCTGTCAAGTGTCTGGCTCAGGTATGATGGGTCTGAGAGTCTTGAGTGTGCTCCCCTGGGCTTCTTCAGGGGCCCTGGCTTGATGCAGGAATAATGGTGTATCCAAACAGCAGTTACTAGGGAAGGCTCAGCTAAGGAAGAGGAGTCTGAAAAATGCTCCTCCAGGGAGTGACCTGTGTGGCCAGGGCCTGGCAGTGCCATGTGGTGTCACAGCTGTTCCACAGAGCTCAGAGGTGCCAGTGCTGGGCTGGCACGCCCGGAGATGGAGTGCAGTGCGCTGCCTCCGTGTCAGGCGTTAGAGCTGCAGCAGCGAGTCAGAAGTCAGTGCCCAGATTCTATTAAAAGCTCCTTTTCTGCTGTCCCCTGCAGAGGAGCACTGCCATGTGCCTCCCTCGCTGCATTGAGCAGAGGCAGGAGAAGTTCCAGAAGCTTTTGGTGTGCGAGTGGTGAATGGGGGTCATGTTGACCCCCCGAGTTAAAGTTTCCCCTCTAGGTGTGAAAAGTACTTCTTTGCACTCATGTTCTGGTCTTACCTTGAGTAGTTCCATGATACTTGCTTTTTCATTTTGGGACTTTAAGGGATGCTCTTAACTTCAGGAATTGCTGATGCATCTTGCATGTGTGTTGCATTTTTCCCTTATGTGAGCTGTCTGCTTGGAAGGGAAGACAAGGCCAACTCCCCAGGAAGAAGTGTGGCCTCAATGTTTGCAGGCTTTTTTTTAGGTGGGCAGCCTGTGTTGGGCTCTTGTGCCCCGTTCCTCAGGAGGGGTTTGGTGGGTTGGAGCAGGGAGTTAGATCAGGATGCCTTTGGGATAGTGCTGAGGAAGATCATCTGGGTGCCTCATGCCGGTGTTTCCTAGGCTACCTGCACAGCTTGGCATCTGGGCACACAGTCTAGTCACTGAGCAAGTATAAAAGAGGAAATGCTGAGTTTTACTCATGGCTTTTCCTCCCAGTGTCCCTGTGAGTGGCTGTGGGTACCAGGTGAAGCTGAGTCAGGCCCACTGGGGTGATGTGGGGTCTTCCATGAGCTCAATTTGTCCTGCAGAGTGTGTAATCAACTGCTGCCAGTGCAGAGCTGTCAAAGCTGCTGGACTGGATGGAATCCATCCGTGCTAACAGCAGGATGTCAGCACTTCCAGGACATGAGGTTAGGATTGGAGCAGTTGAAGCTGGCAGGGTTTTGTGTGGTGGTAAATGCCCAGACAGTAGATCCTTTTAAAGGCCAGTAATCCTGCCACTTCAGTGTGCTTATGCTAGCCTTACTGGTTTTGTAGCTGTTGCGAGAGCTGAGAAATTATAGGAGAGATGTGTGTGTGGTGGCAGAGATGAGGGTGTTGTAAATGGGGCAGAGCAACTGGACCCTGTAATGCCACTGGGAGCTCTTGATGAGCCCCAAACCCTTGCTGTTGTATTCTAAATAGAGTTCTGGTTCCACATCTCTGCTAACCAGGAGATACAGGGCAGGGTAGCTTTATCTGGTAGCAGTCTGCTTGGCATTAGCTGCTCCAGGTCTCTGGAATGCTGTGCAGCTAGGGTCAGCACAGGGCTGCAGCGTTCCAAGCCCACGGCCCTCACTGGCTGGGGAAGGAGGAGGGTGTCAGCGCGGGAGCATTTGTTGGCAGCAAGGCTTGGGCTGTGGGATCAGCTGCTTTGCTTTGCCTCTTGTGCTGTTTAGTGACTAATCAGATTTTGGAGCCTGTCGGACAGATTCAGCTGTCTCCCCAGAACAATACGCCGGCTGTATTTTTAAACACATCACGTGGCTTCAGAGAAGTCAGCAGAGCAGCAAGTGCGGCTTGCCGGGGCTGGGAGATGCTGTGCCCTGCTCGGAGCTGTGTCTAGGAGGGAGCATCTCCTCCCCAGCTGTGTCCCATTCCCTCGGTCCCAGGCTGCTGCTGCCCGGGCTCTGCCCAGGTAAGGACTGCTGGGCTGACTGGTATTTTCCTGTGGCTGCAGGGCTGGGTGTGAACACAGGTGCTGCCTGTCCAGGAGAGCAAAGGGAAGGAGGTCCCTTTCTCAGTGTGGTCAGAGTTGAGTTCCTAGTCCTGTGATATAGCCAGAATAGGGGGATCTCGCAGGGATAAGGCTCTGCAAATGTGGGAAGATGTTGTGACTGTTGCTGAGGTCTCTGCCTTGTGTTGAGGGAGATGCTTAAAGGATCCACTTGTACCTGTGTACTGTTGGGGTGGTGAGGAAAACCCCAAGTGTGGAGCTGGAGATGCCAGCTTCACAGCAGGTGTGCCTCTGGATAATGCAGCTTGGGATAGGTACATCCCAGCAGCTCTCCCTGGCGCTGACACCGTGCTGTCCTGCTGTCTGACCACAGTGTGCTGGAGCTGTCACTCTCCTGGTTTGGCTGATGGTTTGGATTGTTAATCCTCATCTGCATAGGAGCTGCTGAAAATCTAGGTTAAAACCTCATGGTTCAGCTTGCTGAGATCAGGTGAGGCTTGGAGGATCTCGAGTGGATCCCAAATTTGCTTTGCTGAAACCTGAAAGCTTCAGGGCAAGCTGCCTTGTTTTGCAGCCTGTGAATAATTAAAACCATTTCTGAATGCTTTGCTCTTTTCACTTGGTTCTGGTACACATTCATCTTGCTGAGACTTGCTCTTTTTGAATAGGCTGCTTGGTGGTGTGCCCCTGTGGGATCCCTGCCCTACATTCCCTCTCCTTGTGGGTGGCAGCTGCCCCCACATCACTGACCAGGATGTGACTTTGTGACCTTTGGATGGCCTGGCTCTCTGCTCAGAAGCAGCTCTCTTTGTAGGGAGACATTTTCCTGGATTCTCCTCAGTGGGAGGAAAACCTGCAGTGTGACACATCCTTGTCTGCAGGCTCTGGGGCAGAGGCCTGACCAGACAGACTTGCTGTGAACACACACCAGGGACAGGGAAGCCTCTCTGTCAGCAGCCCAGGCTGGCACCTTCCTGGCTGCCCACAGCCAGCTCCTGGCAGGGATGATGGGAGCAGTGTCCCACCTCTGAGCCTGAAAATTCCTGCTGGTGGGCCAGGTGTGCCTGCCACTGGTGTGTGCCCCCATCCCTGGGGAGCTGCCCTCCTGAGCCCCAGGGCAGGTGGAAGGGAATGGCATGGACTGGGCAGAGGGCCTTGTCCCAGAGCTGAGGTCTGTAATCTGGGATGTGGGATCTCTGAACTTTTCCCACATGAAGTGGGTTCTCCTGGCCAATCTGTCTCATAACCCAGCTTCATGTTTGTCAGCCACACCAGGGTGGGTGTGGGTTCTGTGCAGCACCGTGGCCCAGTTGATGGCAAACAGCAGAGGTGCCACCACCCAGACATGGCATTTGTGGGCTGACAGGAGCCCGGTGGCCTCCTGGGCCACAGGAGCCAGGAGGAAGGAGCAGTGTTGTGCTGCAGCCCTGACAGACTGTGTCCCTCTCTGTTGCAGTTCTCAGCATGCTGAGTAACCCTCTTGGGAACGTCCTGGGGAAGCCCCCGCTGGGTTTTCTGCCTTTAGACCCCATTGGTTCAGACCTGCCAGAAAAGTTTTCCACACCGCCGCTGAGGAATTCCCGCTCCCTCCTGGACTCCCGCTCCAGCAGCCCCTCGGACTCGGACACCAGTGGGTTCAGCTCTGGTTCTGACCATCTCTCAGACTTGATTGTAAGTTTGGGTCCTGGGGTCTTGCTGTGTTTTCTGGGGAGCACAGAACAGCTGAGTGGAGCTGCCAGCCAGAGCCCTGTCTGCTCAGGAATGGGAGGGAATGCTGGGAGGAGCTGTTGCACACACACTGGCACAGCCCAGGGTTTAGGAGGAAGGCTGCTCATGCATTCCTTCACCACAAGCCAGCAGTATCCTCATATTTTTTCTTCTAAGCTAATATTTTGGCCTTCTAGGTCTGTGCTTGCAGCCCTGCTGGGCTACAGTAGCTCCCAGAGGGATTTTGAGTGCTTGAGCTGGTGTGTGGCAGGGCGGTGTCTGTGCCCTAATCCCAGCAGGGAGGTGGCTGATCCAGCCTGGACTTCTGTGGAGCTACTGTCCTTGCCTTTCATTGCTCTTCCCATTTGACTGCACTTCTCTGTCTCAGGGCGGTTTCTTCTAGAGCAAACTGGGTCTGGCCTGCTCCCATTCCCTAAAGCACAGCTACATTTGAAAGGCAGGGAGCAAGTGAGTGTCTGGCTGCCTGCCCCAGTCTGCTCTCATGGGTCTGTGGTGGGTGCAAGTGGCTGCTCTGGGTAGTAGCAGGGCAGCCTGGCTCCAGCCAGCTCTGGGATGGTGCTGCATGGCCTGGCCTTGGCACAGGAGGGTAAAGCCAGGAGCTGCTCCAGGCTCTGCTGTGGTGTTGCCATGGCCTTGACCCCTGTGTTGGGGTGGGTGTGAAGGACAGACCTGACTGGATGTGGGGTTTGGTTCTGCTGTGATCCACCCTGGGGAATCAGGATGTGCTGAGTGACTGCAGCACCCGGGCAGTGATGGTGGCAGGTGGTGCAGGGCTCTGTGCTGGCCTTGTTTGTGAAGGGCAGGACTCTGAGCACGGCCCTGGCGTGGGCGGCTGCCGTGACAGCGCAGGGACAGATCCGCAGCGCAGCTGGCACTGAGCTGTGCAGCATCTTGCCTCCCTGCTGCTCCATTAATCCGAGCTTTCCTTCCTCCTGCCCTGGGAGGAGCTGTGGTCCATGGTGCTCACTCACTGGTCAGGCAGCCCTGGAGCTGGGCTGTGAGGATGAGATCCAGCTGGTGCCTGCAGAGTCTCCCTGAGCACTTCCAACAAGCCCTGCCCACTGCGGGCACAGCGCTGAGGCTGGTGCTTCCCAGGGGTGACACTGTTCTTGAGGCTGTACAGCCAAGGGTAGCTGTTGGCTTGGTGGTCTCTGAAGTGCCTCCTGCTTAATGGTCCCTCCTGCTGATCGTGGGCATGGGTTCAGTGGAGAATGGCCTAGAGCTTTCCTAGGGTGCCAGGATGTGTTGGGATTGCTGCTTTCTTGCCTCTGCCAGGCCTCAGAGCATCTTGGGAAATCCCTGAAAACTCCCTCTCCTGCCATGGGCAAGGGCAGGGCCCTAGTGTGATGCCTCACCACTAGCATTATGTGCTCAGAGCTGGATTTCAACATGGCCTTTCTCTTGCAGTCAAGCCTTCGCATATCCCCTCCTCTGCCCTTCTTGCCTCTCAGTGGGGTGTCAAGAGACCCCTTGAAGATGGGAGTGGGATCCCAGCTGGATCAAGATCAAGCTGCCCTGGCTGCAGTAACTTCCTCCCCGGCCAGTGCATCAAAAAGATGGCCTGGAGCATCTGCGTGGCCTTCCTGGGATCTTCTGGATTCTCCAGAAGACCCCTTCAGTATTGAGAGAGAAGCCCGGCTTCATCGGCAGGCAGCAGGTGAGCTGGGAGGGGGTCCAGGGGACAGTCCCACCCTTGGGGGGGCTGGTGGCCTCTGTGCAGACACTGGCTGAACATAGTTTGCTCCAGGCCCAAGCCTGACTCTGGCTCTATCTGCTGAGAGAACAGATGGGTCTGGGCAGCTGCCTGTGGCTGTGCAGCTCTGCTCAGCCTGTAGTTGGGGAGTATGGGGAGACCTGTGGGGAGTGGGAAGGAAATGATCCTGTACTGAGTATTACTGATGTTCTCTACAAGCTGTGAACGAAGCAACCTGCACCTGGAGCGGGCAGCTGCCTCCCCGAAACTACAAGAACCCAGTCTACTCCTGCAAAGTGTTCCTGGGAGGAGTCCCATGGGACATTACAGAAGGTGAGCAGCCCTGGAAAGTGAGTCCCCATGCCAAGGCCTTGGGTGTTGATATTGGGAGGGTGCAGGATGTAGCTTTTTGTGGGAGACACTGATCTCTCTCCTTCTCTCTGTAGCTGGGCTGATCAACACTTTCCGTGTTTTTGGCTCCCTGAGTGTGGAGTGGCCTGGTAAGGATGGCAAACACCCACGCTGTCCTCCCAAAGGTAATATGCCTAAAGGTAATAGCGAACACGGTAGGGTTACTTTTTTCCCATGCTATGTTACAGCACGGATGCTGGGATGGTACAGCTGCATGCTGGTGACTGGTTGGTACAGAGCACCTGGGGTAATGTCCTGCCCTCACTTGGGTCTGCACCTGGGCTGCAGGGCACTGCCACCCCAAACCCAGCATCCTCACCCATCCACAGCAGTGTGGGACAGAACTGTGGGCTAGGGGGAACCCTTGCTGGGTGTTTCTGGAGCCCCATGTAGGGCTGTGGTTCTGGAACAGCTGCTGATCCCACTGCCAGCATGTGCAGCTGGGCTGGCATATTGTGTAAGCAGGAATTAGTTACAGGGTAGGAGGTGGCTGGTTTGGAGGCCCTGTAGTGCCTGATGGCCTCATTCAGTCACCAGAGCAATGTGAGGTAGAGCACTGGCATCCATGGAAGGGATTTTAAAACCCTGGACTGTATTTGAGCCAAGCCACCCTAAATACATAGCAGGGTCTATTTTTCTGCAGACCTTGTTGTGGCCAGGCTGGTGGTGTCCACCTGGCATGTCCAGGTGTGTTTGTGGATGATGGACAGTGGCCCATGTGGCCCTGGGCATCCTGCCCCTCGTGCTGTGCTTGGGTTTGGGCTCTTCCAGCTTGGCTTATACATTAAGAGGATAATATTGCTGGGAACAGCAAGAGCTACCACACATACTTCAGGTGGAACCCAAGAGTGATGTCTGCAAATTGGGATGATCTGTTCCTCCTCCACCACAGCTCTAACAGCTGCTTCTTTCCCTTCCCTTCCAAAGGCTACGTCTACCTGGTGTTTGAGTCGGAGAAGTCGGTGCGTGCGCTGCTCCAGGCGTGCTCCCAGGACCTGCTGAGCCCCGACGGGCTCAGTGAGTACTACTTCAAGATGTCCAGCCGCAGGATGCGCTGCAAAGAGGTGAGCAGAGCTGGGAGAGCAGCCTGATGTGGCAGCAGGACATGCAGAGGGACATCCCTGGAGGAAAGGAAAGCAGGGCTGGAACAGCAGCTGAAGGTGTGCTGGCTCCTGGCTGGCTTTGATTGCTCTGTGCCTGGGATAGGGATGTGTCAGCTCAGTCTTTGTGTCCCTCACAACAGCTTGTGTTAAACCAACCTGCCACCAACCCAGGAGCTCCAGACCCTGTCTTCAGGCTTCAGTTAGTTGGGGCAGAGCATGGAAACAGGGATTTGACTGCTCTGTGCTGCTTCCATCACACCTTTGCTTGCAGAAGCAGACTGGGACCCCTCAGGTGCTTTGTCAGGCCTCCTCTGCTTGCAGAACAAGTAACTCGCCCTCAGCAGGCAGATATTTTGGATCCCAGGCCACTCCCCAGCATGGCCTTGGCTGGCTGACCTGAATTTTGAGGGTGCTGGGGCTGCCAGAGAGGCTCCATTTGGGCTTATGGGAAGGGGTGTCCTCAGATCACGAACAACTGCCTGAGTTACAGGATGGCAATGCGGCTCTTAATCTAGACAGGCACAAACTAATTGTGCTCTAGACAGCTCTCCTGGTGTGTGGCAATTGGCAGATCTTTCCTGCTTCGTGATTTAGTTCTGCCAGAAGCTTCTCTCCAGAGCCCTCCATCAGCTGCAGAGCAGATGGAAGCTCCTGATGGAGCTGCCAATGGGTGGATATTCCAGTGGTCCCCTCACACATCAGGCTCCTGTGCTGGGAGGTACCTGACTGGGCCATAAATGCAGGTGGAGGGATGTGGCTTGTCCTCTGGCTGCCACCCCCAAGGAACTGCTGGCTTGGGTTCCAGTTTGGCTGGAAGCAGAGTGGGTGTTGTCCCTGTGTGGGTTGTCTGGAGCTCTAGGTGGATGTGGACCCTGAGCAGCAGTAGATAACAAATGGCATTTGCAGCTGGGGATGAGGTCTGAGCTTGGGGGTGCTCCTGGTTGCAGGTGCAGGTGATCCCGTGGGTGCTGGCCGACAGCAACTTCGTGCGCAGCCCCTCTCAGCGGCTGGACCCCAGCAAGACGGTGTTTGTGGGGGCCCTGCACGGCATGCTCAACGCAGAGGCCCTGGCAGCCGTCATGTACGACCTGTTTGGAGGGGTGGTCTATGCTGGCATCGACACTGACAAGCACAAGTATCCCATAGGTAAGTGATGGTTCCACCGGGATTGGTGGCTGCCCCTGCCGTGCTCTGAGGCTGCAGTGTGCCCTTGGCTTGTCCTTCTGCTGGAAGGCTGCCCAGGTGCCAGGCTCAGAGAGCAGATGCTGTCCAACCTCTTCCGCAGTCTGTGCTTCTCATCTCCTGGCCCTGGGGAGGCAAGACCAACCTGGGGGAGGGCTGAAAGAGCTGATGTGCTGGGGAATTGGAAGGTCCTGGATCATTCCAGAGAAGCCTGAAGTTTAGAATATGCCTGTAGGCATTGCTGAAGGTTTCTCTGTCCTTGTTCAATGCTATTAATGGTTGGTGAATGCTGCTGTAGCTGCTTTTCCATTCCCAGGTCAGAGACAGTTGTGGGTCTTAACCCACTCTTGGGCTCTTGTCACCAGAGCTGAAACATGTGTCATGATGTGTGTACATCCCTGGAGACCTCATGGGCTGGGGGACAGCACTGAGGTGGCTGGTTTGTTGGAAAAACCCCCAGCCTGTGCCTGAGCTTTCCAGGCTCAGGCTGCAGCGAGTCACAGATTCTGAGATGCTGTGGATCTCCTGGTGTTGCCAGGCAGTAACAATGCAGAGTTGTCACTGCCCTTGGATAGCAGTCAGGCTTTTCTGGACAAGGCTCAGGTTTAGGGCATGCATGTTGTGCTGCAAAGCCCCTGAAGTGCCTTTAGGGGGACAGTCTCTAGGAGGGTGGGAATGGGAGTATGAGACTTCAGGCAAATTCTCAGTGAGACTGTGGATGAGGTGTCACAGAACCTCCCTGTGCTGGCCCTGTGAGATGCCAGTGTGTGACCCCAGCCTCCTGTAGTTCATGCAGAGCCCAGGTTACTCCAAGTAGGCAAGATCCATCTCCCAACAGCTCGGTGGCACTTCCACCCTTAGAGCTGTCCTAAAGTCACAGCAGTCAGAGCTCAGTTTGGGTAACTAAGCTGTGCCCTGGTTGGTTGTGCTGATTGAGGGCATCTCCTGTAACCCCAGACTGGATCCAGGCCCTCCTACCTGTGTCCTGTGCAATGCTTTGGGAGGGGTTTTGAGTGGCACTTTGTCCTGTGGCTGAGCTATATAGGGATCTCCCAGTGTCAGTCTTAACAGACCTTGGCTGGAAAGGAAGTGGTGCTGGAATGCTGCTGAGCAGCAATGAGGCTGCAAAACAAGGCTCTGGGGTGAGGGGGGGCTGGGAATAAAAGCTGCTGAGCTGTCTCAGCACTGGTGCATTTCAGGTGTAGCATGAATGAAGCACTCTGCTGATCCTGGGAATGTGGTGCCTGGAGAAGGAGGCAGGAAGAGGGCTCTGGATACCATCTCCCTGTCAAAGCTGCTTCCCTGTCTGAGTGGCACCAGGGAGGGGGTGGTGCTGGCAGTGATTCCCTCTTGATCTCTGCTGTTCCTCTCTAACATTGTGCTCTGGCTCGTTCCAGGGTCGGGCCGTGTCACCTTCAACAACCAGCGCAGTTACCTGAAGGCTGTGACTGCTGCATTTGTGGAGATCAAAACCACCAAGTTTACCAAGAAGGTGAGTGGGGCTGATGGGGCAGCCCCAGGAGGGGGTGTGCATGATGGGTGGTACTTCTGGGAGTGCCAGTGCTCATGGAGCCTGCCCCATATTCCTGCTCAAGCAGTGGGAAGTGGGGCTGCTGCTCTGCCAGCCCTAGGGGTGCTGCTGGGGTTTGGATTTGAGGTACCAAGGGAGAGGGCAATCATCCTGGTGCTGCTCCATGCCCACTGCCTCGTTCTCCTGCAGGTTCAGATCGACCCGTACCTGGAGGATTCCATGTGCCAAGTGTGCAATGCCCAGCCTGGCCCATTCTTCTGCAGAGACCAGGTAAGGCCAGTTCTCCTGTGGGCTGTGCTCAGGGCTTTTCTCAAGGAGGAGCAGGCCCTGCTGCTGGGTTTTGGGGATATATACACTGGTTCTTCCCCAGTGGGCAAGATGGGAGGGTGATGTTGTTTTGGGGGAGATGCAGCCCTCCTGGAGAGGGCAACTCTGGTGCTTGCCAGGAGGCCCAGGCAGGCAATGTCCACCCAGCTTTTAGCCAGGGATACTGCAGTTTGCTGGTGCTGTGCCAGCACTAAGACTTAGTGGCACACCTGGGGGCAGGGGAGGCTGCTGCTCTGTGAGCCATGATGGTCTGGGGTTGGGGTGCGTGCCCCTGTGGCTGGCTGAGGCACAACGCTGGCTGCAGGCGAAGGATCTTGGCTGGGCTCTGGAAGCTTCCTGCCAAGCTGGGATGGGCTATGAGCAGGGGACAGGAATGCCATGGGAGTGATGGGAGCCCTGGCAGAGCCCAGCTACTGCCCCAGTGCCCAGTCCCTGATTTTCAAACCTGTTCAAAAGATGGAAGCTGGGCACAACAGCCCCTCACAGCATCGCTGGCATTCCCTGTCCAACCCACAGATCCGTGTGCTGGTGGGGGCTGCGAAACCAGGCAGGGGTGAAGGGCAGGAGTGGCTCTGCTGGTGTCACCCCAGTGTTGCCCCTGTGCTCTGCCCACAGATCTGCTTCAAGTACTTCTGCCGCTCGTGCTGGCACTGGCAGCACTCCATGGAGGTCCTGCGCCACCACCGCCCGCTGATGCGCAACCAGAAGAACCGGGACTCCAGCTAAGGGGCCGCCGGGCACGGGGCTGGCACGGGCAGAGTCCTGGGAGAACCTGCCAGAGGAGAGCGCAGCAGCGCCTGCCGGAGCCAGGCCCGGCTGGGAACGTTCTTCCTGAGGACTGATGGGGAAAAAAAACAAAAATCTTACATTCATGTTTGCACTTGCTGGTCTTTTTGTTTCTGCACTAATGCACAGTGAGTTTTGTTGGGGTTTGTTTGGGGGTGTTTTGAGGGGGGGAGTGCCCCTCAAGCCATTCTGCAGTTCCCAGACTTTGGTTCCTGGTTTGCTGACGAGAAGCAAAAATTGAACACGAATAAACCCAACCAACCAAGGGCCATGTGTCGCGGAGGCGTCGCCGCAGGCGCCCCCGCCCTGGTTTTTTTATTTTTTAAAGGCGCTTTTTTACATTCCTTGCAATACTGGTGGAGAGAGCGCAGGTCTCATTGGTCATTGTTTTGCCGTTGCCATACAGTGCCTTTCCATTCATTTACCCCCACCTGGATGGTGTGACCTGGGTGTTCAGCTGGCGTTTTTTACTGTAACAACAAGGAGACTTTGCTCTTCATTTAAACCAAATCATATTTCATATTTTACGCTCGAGGGTTTTTACGAGTTCCTTTTTACACTCTTAAAAACAGTTTTTAAGTCGTTTGAAATGAGAGATTTTTTTCTTTTCCTGGCAGCTTTTAACATTATTGCAATTTGTGTCTGGGGGCTGATGGCAGGACGTTGTAAATCCAGGGGTTTGCAACGGGACAGGCCGGGCTTTTTTTTTGTTTTTGGAGTTGAAACTGGACGGGATGAGGATCTCTGAGCTGCTGTATATAGTTTTAAATAGTTTGTTGCACTTTTTTAAGTTGCACTTATGGGGGGTTGATAGAGGTTTTTAATCACACAAAGTCACAGGACTTACCTTTTCTTTTGTAACAAGCTAAAAAAGGGCTGCGTTTTGGTGGACGATGAAGGTTCCTGGGAGCCCTTTCTCTTAGAGGGGACAAGTAATTTTCCTTTCCTTCCTGAGATGTTTGGAGTATCAGTGCAGTCGACTGAAATGCTGCTGCTGGGATTTGAGACCTTAATTATGCTGATCATTATTATTTTGTTACTTTCCCCTCTATTGGAAGCTGTGTGCCAAAGAACCAGTGTCATAATTTCTCCCTCTTTACTATGATTATTTTTTTTTTTCTTTCCTGCTGAGCTGATGTTGCATTGTTGCATATCCCAGCTGCTCTTTGTGGGGTTTTGTGAAGCTGTGTGTGAAGTCTCTACCTCATTGTAGTATATGCAGGCAAGACTGCACTCTCCTACAGACGTGTGGAGTAAGCTGTGGTGTAGTTTTTGGCACATAATAAACACGTTGCAGCAAAAAAAAAAATTTCTTGTGCCTTGTGTGCTTCATGGGAGATCTCTACAGCTTGGAGGCTGTGGTGTCACTCCCTGGAGGCGTGGGGGAAGGTATGGATGTGGTCTGGGGAGAGGGATGGATGGAGCCGTGAATTGTGGGTGCTGTTGGTGGGCGACTCGGCTGCGAGGGAGCCTCTAGCTGCTGCCCAATGCATTTCTGGATCCCCCTCACCTGAGGTCCCTGCAGGCCCCTAGGCTCCAGCTGGAGCTCCCCTAATTGCAACTGGAAGCTAATGAGGCTGATGGGAGGGACCTGTGTTCTCCCACTGTGGCAGTGGAGGGGCTGTGAGGGGCGAGGGCCCCAGGGCTCCTCTCTGGGGCTGGGGAGGGCCGAGTTGCCCTCAGGCTGCCACAGAGGACACTTGGTGTGCCCCGTGTCCCTGGAGCAGGGCAGCTCCGGCCTCCTTCCATGTCCCACTGCGGCCTCGTCGTGGTCACCCCTCCTCCTTTGGGGCTGGGCGCTGCGAGTCTGCGGATGCTCAGTGTCCTCTGAGGGCCAGCGTGGGAGGTGCCGCTGGCACCACAGCCCTCTCCAGTTCCCTTCCCGGGGGCTCCCTCCTGTTCGGGCCGCGGGGCGCAGCGGAGCGCCTCAGGCTGGGCCCCGCCCGCCGCTCCCGCCTCGCCCCGGCCCCTCCTCCGGGCCCTCCGAGCCGCCAGGGGGCGCGCTGGCCGCCGCTGGCTTCCGGCGCCTCCCGCCGTCCTCCGCTCTTTTTCCGCGAGTGCCGCCGACATGGTGGGTCCGGGTCCCGCCATCCGCCGCCATCCTCGGGAGGGCCCGCGTCCCCACGGCGGGGAGCGGCATAGGGGGCCGGAGGGGACCGGGGCGAGGGGCAGTGGGGGGCGGCGGCGGCCGGGATGGCTGGGAAAAGGGGGGGGACTGGGGTGGGGGGCGCTGGGCCTGGGCTCGGCGGAGCCTGACCGGCGGCCCTGCCGCACACACCGCGTAGGGACGCGTTCGGACGAAGACGGTGAAGAAAGCGGCGCGGGTGATCATCGAGAAGTACTACACACGCCTGGGGAATGACTTCCACACCAACAAGCGCGTGTGCGAGGAGATCGCCATCATCCCCAGCAAGAAGCTGCGCAACAAGATTGCGGGGTGAGGCACTGCGGGCCCGGGGCACCGGGGCGTCCCGGCTGGGCTTTGGACACCGCAGGGTCCCGGCTGGGCTTTGGAGGGTCGGAGGGGGTTCGGGCACCGCGGGGCTCCGGATGGGCTTCGGGCGGCTGGGAGTGTCCCGGGGGTTTTGGGCATGGGAAAGGTCTTGGGGGATTCGGGCACGGCGTGGGGGTTCCTGCTGAGCCCTGCATTCGAAAGTGATTACGGTCCCGCCTGTGGCCGGGTCATTGATAGTGCAGGGAGAGGAGAGCGAGAGTTTTCCCGTGTTTGGGGGGGTCTGTGTCTCCCCCAAACCCTGTTGCTGTCGGACACTTTGTCTCTGATGTCCTCTGGAGATGGTGGGATAATGCCCGGGTCAGTGGTGGGATATCGCCGGGTAGATGGTGAGAGCTGTTCTCATCCTGCTGTGGTTCCGGGATTTGGGGTGTGGGGAAGGGTGACATGAACCCTGGGAAAGCCCAGGACACCCCTGTGTCCCCACAGGTATGTCACCCACCTGATGAAGCGAATCCAGAGGGGCCCTGTCCGCGGCATCTCCATCAAACTGCAGGAGGAGGAGAGGGAGAGGAGGGACAACTACGTCCCGGAGGTGAGGCTCCAGCTTCCCCATCCATCCATCCATCCTGCCTCACTGTATCTCCATAAACGGTCCCAAGTTTTAAAACAAACCCTCAGCCAGGAGGAGCTGAGGAGGGTTTGGATCAAGGAGGCCGAGGTGGATCCCTCCAAAGCTGCCACCTGGCACAGGAAGGATAGCTGGCTTCTCATGGTTTGGTTTTCCTAACTAAAAATTTGGGGAAAAAATAATTTGATGGGAAGCAGGAGGGTATTTCAGAGCAGCTGAAAATCTGCCCTGCAGTTGGAATCCCCAGAGGGAGGTTTTGGTAGAACCCCCTTGCCTTAACCCTCTGTTTGGACAGGTCAAGATCTCAACTGTCACCTGGGTGGGGTGGTCCAGGAGGGCTTCCCTTGTTCCAGAAGTGTGATCCCGTTGCTCCTAAATCTTGTAGCCTTCAGGCACAGCACATCTTACCCTCTTCCCATCAGCTCCTGGCAGAGCTGCTGGTACCAGAGAGGGGTTACAGGGAGGGGACTCCAAGCAGGGAAGGAGTGTCCGTGCTGCAGCTGTGGGTGTAGTGTCAGCACACAAACCTGTGCTGTTTGTGGTTTCTTAGAAGAATCCTGGTGTTACATAGCTATTGGGGAAGGAAACCTGTGGAGGTAGAGTTTTTGGGGTCTGGAGAGGGCTGGAGGAAGTTTTGCTGGGATTCAAGAGCAGAGGAGCACTGGTGTCCTGGAGGTGGGACTGCCTTTGTTGGTGCCATGGTGGCCTTGTGTCCCAGGGCAGCTGTGAGTGTCACTGATGACTGCCAGGACTGGCGCAGTTGAGGGTACCATGCCAGCTCCTCAGCAGCCTTGGCCTGGAGCAGGCTGGGCCTCAGTTTCCAAGGATTTGCCATAAACCAGGCTTTTCCCTCTACTGCCAGTGGCCTCTTGCAGTGTTCAGTCAGGAAAGCTGTGTTCCATCAGGATGCTCCTGGCTGTGCTGCTGGAACTGCTCCCCAGAGCAGTGGGATGAGAGCGGAGTGGCTGTGGGGACATTGGGGTTGTTGTGGGGCTTCATCAATCACACCTTTTCTCTCCCCTCTGTCCCCAGGTCTCTGCCCTTGACCAGGAGATCATTGAAGTGGACCCAGACACCAAGGAAATGCTGAAGCTCCTGGTTAGTGGTCACAACTGTCCCTGCCCAGCTGCTGGCATATCCCTGGAACAGCTCCTGCTGCCCTGAGTGGCTGGATGGTGTCAAGGGCATCCCTCTGCCCTGGGTCCTGTGGGAGGATTAGTTCATGTATGGCTTTTGAAAGGGCAGAGGCATGGGGGCTTTGCCACCAGCAGGGAGAGGGTGTTCCTTGCCCTCCATTCTGATGATTCCCTCACCAAGGAGTCAATCTCTGGAGCAGGGTGATCTCCCTTTCTTAGGAGACCTGCGTCCACCCTTGTGCTGCCCCAGCACCTTCCCACACCTTCCTGGAGGAACTTGCCTCCACTGTCAGTGGGCAGGATGCTGTGACTGATGCCATTCTTCCTGTGCTGTTTTCCAGGATTTTGGCAGCCTGTCCAACCTGCAGGTGACACAGCCCACAGTGGGAATGAACTTCAAGACGCCCCGAGGAGCGCTCTGAGTCTGCCCCTGTGTGTCGCTTTTCCAATAAACGTGAGGAAACCATCTCAGCCTGCCTGGTCTTTAGACACCCAAGGTCTGAGGGAGGGAGGGTTCTTGGGGTGCCACATTGGAGCACACAGAGGACTCATCACCTTCATGTGCACCAGCATCTTTTTGGGTTCTTTCCTGGCAGTTTGGGGTGTGAGGTGTAAAGCTGTTATTTTAGAGGCTCTCCTGCCTTTGGGGCAGTGGAGAGAACAACCATGGTGGCTCCTTGGAGCTTGTGGGAGCCTGTCCTAGGTTTTCCTGTGCTTCCTCCAAGTGGACAGCCCAGGGATCAGGCTGTACCATAATAAAAATTGCTTTTTGCTACCCTACTGGTCACTTCCAAGTGCTTAAACGAAAGGAGAAAAGTCTTAAAATTCCTTGATTAAATTAAAGTGAGGAGACCTTGGATTGTCCCTCCAAGAAAAACTTGCTTAAATTAGTTAAAACACAGCTTAAACCACCACCCCTGCCCCGGAATAAAAAGAAAATATTTCTGTTTTGGGGGAAAATGTCTGTATTTATGTTTGTTGTGAAATTTAGTTTTAGTAGTTACTTAAAGAAGCAAATACTGCTATAACTGTAGCCAGTACTTAAATAACACATTGAACGCTCTGAGCTGCAGTTGGGCAATTTATAAATCATCTGGCAGCTCTTACATTGAAGTTTTTGCTGCTGCTGCAGCCACCTGTTCCTTACCATTTCCTCTTCATTTTGGTCTTCTCGCAATAAATGTTACATTTGCTCTGAACCCAGTACGCCGCATAGCCCGAGGTGCCAGGGATAAAATCGTGGAGTTCCCCCTCATATTTCTTCATGTCCCGTGCAGAGGCATAGCCTGTGGAGGGAAAATGGGCTCACTGAGTCCCTGCTCCATGTGCTCCATCTGCAGCCCTTTCCAGGTGGATTTATTTACCTGTCACCATGTTATTTATTGGGTATTCCTGGAGGGCACGGTATGGAAATTCTCCCTGGGCAAGTGCTTCAGAGTCTGTTTCTTCACTGCTGTATCAGGAGGGAAAAAAAATCTGTGTTCAGTTCCTGTGTGTTAGGATTGCTTGGAATTGGGGGTGCATCCAAATCCTGCCACCCAAGGTAGGAAAATACCTCTCAGCCAGGTCTAGCACTTCCTCCTCTGATTCTTCCTCACAGTCATTTCTTGCTGCTTCTGGTTCCTCTGTCGGATTTTCGTTGGGCTGTGAATATCAGCTCAAGAATGAGTTACAGTTGTGCCCTGGGTCACCTGCAGAGCACCTGGGAAACACTCCCAGTGCATGAATTGTTAGGGCTCATGATTTTAAGCATAATTCAGAGTTAAATTTTAAATTTAAGGGCATTCCTGCTTCAAAAGTGCTGGGAAGTTGCTTTGAGAGCAGAGTGAGCAGTGACATGGGGAAGGAAAGCAGCACACCAAAGGGCTGAGCTCAGCCTGTGGCAATTGGAATGCCTGGAACAGCACACTGCTGACTAGAAATGTCTAGGGCAAGGGAGACAGACAGTCCTTCCAGTGCTGTCTCCCTCAGGATGTCATGGTGGCAGGGACACACAGCACAGCGAGCACAAGGAATCAGAATCAGGTTGGAGAAGATCATCGGGTCCAACCAGTGACCATCACCACCTTCCCAACCAGAGCAGAGCACTGAGTGCCACATCCAGTTTTGGGCAGCCCATTCCAGTGCCTAATCACCCCTTCTGGGAAGAAATTCTTTCTGATGTGCAACATAAACCTCTCCTGGTGCAGCTTAAGGCAGTGTCCTCTCATCCTGTCCCTTGGTCCCTGGGAGCAGTGCCTGACCCCCACTCAGCTCCACCCTCCCGTCAGGGAGTTGTGCACAGTCAGAAGGTCTCCTCTGAGCCTCCTTTTCTCCAGGTTGAGCTTTCCCCCAGCTCCCTCCTGGTGCTCCAGACCCTTCCCTGGCTCAGTCCCTTCTCTGGACCTCCTCCAGCACCAAAACGTCCTTGAATTTAATTGAGGGGTCCAGAAATGGACACAGCACTCAAGTTGGGGCCTCAGCAGTGCCTAATACTGGGGAAAAATCAGGACTTCCTGGTCCTGCTGGCCACACAGGCCAGGTGCCACTGGCATTCTTGGCCACCTGGGCTCACGTTCAGCTGCTGCTGATCAGCACTCCCAGGACATTTCTTGCTGGGCTGCTTTCCAGCCACTCATCTCCGTCTGTAGCTCTGCAGGAGTTATTGTGGCCAAAGTGCAGGACCCAGAGCATGGCCTTGTTGACCCTCCTACAAATGACCCTGGTCCATTGATCCAGCCTGTCTGGGTCCCTCAGCAGAGCCTGTAGCCTCCAGTAGAACCACACTCCCACTCAACTCGGTGTCACCTGTGTCTGCCAGTGGGGGACTCAGTGCCCTCATTCAGATCTTCAGTAAAGGTACTGAATAGGCCTGGGCCCAGCTTGATCCTTGGGGGGGATCCTGGTGATCAGACACCAATTGTCCCAGCTGTGGGCTGCAGTTCTCCAGGAGGGGCTGTGGGAAATGGTGTCAAAGGCTTTGCTGATGTGCAGATAGGCACATCCACAGCCTTTCCTTCATCCAGTGAGTCCCCTCGCTATGAAAGGAAATCAGGTTAGTCAGGTAGGACCTGCCCCTCCTAAATCCATGCTGGCTGGGCCTGATTCCTTCCTTGGTTTCCCTGGATGTGCTGTGTGATGGCACTGGAGGTGACCTGCTCCATAATCTTCCCTGCCACCACTCACTGAAAGGTCTGTAACTCCCTAGACCCTCCTTCCAACCCTTCTTGTGGAGGGGTGTCACATTGTCCCTTGTCATCTGGGCCCTCCCCAGTGAGCCAGGACTAGTGATAAATGATGGACAGCAGCTTGGCAAGCTCTTCCTCCAGCTCCCTCCTCGCCCTGGGAAGGGTCCCATCCAGGCCCATGGACTTGTGAGCATCACAGTGGCACAGCAGGGCAGTGACTGCCTCCTCCTGGATTTCTGGGGGTCCATTCTGCTCCCCATGCCTGTCTAGCCAGCTCTGGGGCCCTTTGTCCTGATCCAACCAGTCTTAGTGTTGAAGGCTGAGGCAAAGAAGGGGTTAAGTACCTCAGCCTTTTCCTAGTCTTTGGTGATGGACACTTCAATAAAGAATGGAGGTTTTACTTGGCCCTCCTTTTGTTAATAAAGTATTTATAAAAATATTACCCTTTACAGAGGTGGCCAGATTAAGTTCTAACTGAGCTTTCACCTCTCTAATTTTCTTCCTTCTGCATGACCCAAGGACATCTTTAAATGCTTCCTGAGTTGCCTGCCCCTTTTCCCAAAAATTATACTCTTTTTTCCCCTGAATTCCTGTGCAAGCTCCCTGCTTAGCACAAGCTCGTTCTCCAGCACATACATGTGTAGTACAAATTTTTCATCTTACCTGTTCTTCAACAGCATCTGCCTTCTCCCAAATAAACCGGCCAATTTTCCTTCTGATTTCTGACAAGAACAGCAAAACTAGTGACTGAGAGCACCAAAAATCAGGGCTGTGGCAGTTGCTGCCAGTGTGGTGCCCTGCAGGTGCCCCTGGGGACAAGCCCAAACGCAGAGTCCTGCCCCTGGGTAAGGGCAATCCCAAACACAAATTCTGGGTGGGCAAGGATGGATTGAAAGCAGCCCTGAGGAGAACCTGGGGGTGTTGGTGGATGAGAAGCTCATGGATATGACCCAGCCATGTATCCTGGGCTTGTCTCTGGCGTCCCCAAGGGCAGCAGGACTGGAGCTCCTGGAGAGAGCCCAGAGGAGGCCCCTGAGCTGCTCTGAGGGTAGAGCCCCTCTGCTCTGGAGCCAGGCTGGGAGAGCTGAGGGTGCTCACCTGGAGAGGAGAAGGCTCCAGGGAGATCTCAGGGCCCCTTCCAGGGCCTAAAGGGGTTCCAAGAGAGCTGGAGAAGGACTCAGGACAAGGGCCTGGAGTGACAGGACACGGGGGAAAGGCTTCAAACTGACAGAGGGCAGGCTTAGATGGGATACTGGGAAGAAATGCTTCCCCTTTGAGGGTGGTGAGGGCCTGGCAGAGGTTTCCCAGAGCAGCTGCGGCTGCCCCATCCCTGGGAATGTTCAAGGTCAAGCCATTCTGTGATAATAGATGGATCATACTCTGCCCTCTGGGAGGAAGAGCCGCTCCCAAGCAGAAGGAAAAGTCCCTCCCTGCAGTAAGTAACTGTCAGTGCCAAGGCTGTACTCATGGGGGATTTCCACGGGAAAACATCCCCAGATGATTTTTTTTGCCTGACCTTCATGCAGGCAGGCAGGGGGCAGGATGAAGTGGCCCAGAGCCACCGAGGGCCTCTCTCCATCTCGGGTGCTGGCACACACTGAGAGGTAACAGGAGTGAAAGACCGTGGCTCTGCCCTCCAGGTAACTGAGACTCTCGTGTATGCTGGAAGAGAGAAAGAGAGCTGGTTTCCAAAGGAGAACCTGCAAGCAAACCAAAACCAAAACGTTTAGACGGGTGTTGTCATGAAACCTGCTCTGATTTTTTTGCCAAAACACCTAATTTTCTGTGATTTTCTACCTGTGAGACTCTACCAGTCACGTCCCGTTACAGCCCCACCTCCCAGGGCCAGCCTGGAGGAGGGACAAGAGTAAATGTATTTTTAGGAATGACACAGTCCCACTCTGCTCTTGAGGTGAAACTACTTCGGGGAGGGCAAAGACAGGATTTTTCTACAATTATCCTTCACCACACTGGTTCCTGCTCTCACAGCTGAGCACAAGGAAGTGGAGGTGGAGGGTGTTCCAGCCCTCACTGTCCTCCTTAGAGAGGAACTAAATCTTGTTTGCTGGGTTTAAGCATGTGTATAATAATTACATTTTTTCACAAGGAACTATCTAACAATATACACTGAATATATATATATATAAAATTATCCAGAATTCCCCCTTGAGGAGCAGGTTGGTCTGGCAGCATGTTGTTGCAGAAGAAAAGTTGTTATTCTGTGTTTATTGGAATTCCCCTCGCTTAGCTGGAGTAGGTGGCTGAAAGATTCCAAAATTCAAAGCCAGTTTTAAGCACTGGTGTGTTAAAAACAAACTACTTAGTCCAGCCTAGCAAAGCCTAAAAGAAACATGGCAGCTTCCTTTCCCATATATATTTACATGACTAAATAATGAGTAAATACAAATATTCACTGATCTTGAGGAAGTGTGGAAGATTATTAAGACTTTCCTTTTATATCTACAAATGTGCCATAGCTCTTTATTTTTTTTTTTTTAATTAAGCATTTCAGTCCTTTTCCGTCCATTTTTACCCCAGTGCTTCCTTTTAGCATTAATTCACACTGGCTTTTTAGCAAAAGGTCCCTTCCTTGGGAATTGCATCAGCTCTGTTTTAGATGCTGATTTTCCAGCAGATAATTCACAGCCAGCAAGAAAACAGCACAATTAATTTAATTAATATCACAGTTAAGCCCCTCTCAACACATGACGTTTTTTCTCTATTCCATCTATCTATAGCTTAGTGTGGGGTGAGTTTTCCTGGGCCCGCTGGGCAATAAGATCCTGGCAGATCCATGACTTTAAAAACACACCCTTGACTTTTACAGGATGTCAGTATCCATGAAATACTTTTCGCTAAATACATTAAAGCCTCCTTTGCCCACCTGCGGGTGTCGGGGTGGGCAGCATCGCTGCTGAAGAGGTAATCAGCATCCAGCCAGTGGGCGAGCGTCCCGCCACCGTCTGCTGCAGGGGACAGGGAGCGAGGTCAGGGTGGGCACCCAGGGGGTCCCACCTGGGGGTGACCTGGGTGGGGACAGCTGCTTCTGGGGCCGCAGAGACGGGCCCTGAAGTGGAACTGTGGCAGCTCCCCATGGCTGTGGGACTCCCATTGCTCCCCCGAGGGTTGTTCAGGGCTTTTCCCCAGTGTGGGGGCACCGTGGGCTGGCCAGACTCGTGCTCTGCCCTGTTGTGTGGGTCTCAGTCCCACAAAAAGGTGACAGGGCTGTGTCCCCACTGCTGTGCCCTGCTGAGGAATGATGGGGCTCTGCTCCCCTCCTAACTCCCCCTGAGCGGTGACAGGGCTCTGCCCCTGCCAAATCCCCGGCGGATTCCTGCAGCTCCGTGCCCCGGGGCTTCCCTAGACTTCGCTGTCGTCTGCCCCCTCACCCCACAGCCCCCGCGGGCCCGGGCTGACGCTCTGCGAGAACCAAGCACTGTGTCCGCGGAACATCGCGGCGGGAGCCGCCCTGAGGGGAGCGGCCGTGAGGGGAGACGAGGGCGGGAGCGGCCCTGAGGGGAACGGCCGTGAGGGGCCGGGGGGAGGCGGGAACCACCCTGAGGGGAGATGATGGCGGGAGCGGCCGTGAGGGGAAGCGGTGGTGGCAAAACCCGGCGAGAGGTGGAACGGCTGGAGCGGCGTCAGGGAGATTTAAGCTGATATTAGGGAAAGGTTCTTCCCCTCAGTGTGGCCGGGCACTGGGACAGCTCCCCAGGGCAGCCCCAAGGCTGACAGAGCTCAAAGGGCACTTGGACAACACTCTGAGGCACAGGGTGGGGTTTTGGGGTGTCCCGTGCAGAGCTAGGAGTTGCACTTGATCCTTGTTCACCTAGAAACTTTTCTCAGAAAAACCCTTTCATTTTGCTGATTCCGGAAACTGCTTGCAGAAAAATTGCTTTTGTTTTCATACAGCACAAATGAAGCTTATTTCATGCTTGAAGCTTTCCAAGATATCCCTCAGGATAACCCATCCCCTGGGAACTGCCGCCAGCAACAGCGGCAGCACAGCAACATTCCGAGTACCTCAGAACCCCAGGGATGCTGGATAAAACAGAGAAGGTATTTCTGGACATGGTCCTGAAGTCCAGCAGCTAAAGAAAATCAGCCTCTGGTGTGGTCATATGTTGTTCTCCCACAGACAGGGGATTTTTGAGTAAACCATCAAAATGTTTCTTACGTAGGAACAGAAAAATTCCACAGATGCAATCAGGGCAGACCTCACCAGTGTGGGAAGATGATGATGTGTCCTTTGGGGACAGGGTCACTTCACATTGCCCCCACTGAATCTTCAGTTTCTGCAGTCGTCTCCACTCCTGTCCTAATCAGGGTGAAGCACTCTTGGTGGAGTGGTCACCCAGCAATTATTCTGGTGCCTCTTGAGGATAGGAAAGGTGGAGCTGAGGTGGTGGAAAGCACTTTTGTGGCCCTTCATGATCCAGGGGAGGAGGCCAGGACATGTTCCACAGCTCCTTGGGCTCACACAGCACCTTGTGCTGCTCCACCGGGGTGTCTGAGAGAGGACCTGAAACCTTTTCCCCTCTCCCAGGCCACCTTCTCTCACACAGGGAGCACTGCTGGTGCTGCCTGGTTACCAGAGTGCATCTGGTGCTGCAGGTGAGCTGTGTCCTGCTGCCCCGTGCTGAGAGATGAGCACTGTGCACAACCACCCAGCCGTGACAGCCCTGCCTGTCCTGCCTTGAACACCCTCTGATGAACCCAAAGGGATCCCCATCACGGGGCCCTGCCCCTCAGCAATCTACCATGTAGGTGCCGGACCTGCAACAGCCTGGATTTTCCAAATCCCTAACAAAAAAAATTGGTTATAATGAAAATAACTAGGGAACAAGACAATATCCATCAAGAATCCCAAGTGTATCTTCCGTGACACCATCACAGCCAAGAAGAGACATGGGATGCCCTGAGCCACCAGGAACCCTTGATCCCATACAAGTGATCCTGGTTAAATCCATTTGGATACAAATCCTCAAGCAATCACTCTGATTTCTTCATAAAATAAAAATGAGCTGATGGCAGCAGCATTGGTTTTGGGTAGTGTGAATCCCCCACGGTGTAAGAAAGGACTGGCCCCAGCTGCACTTCTCCATGGCCTCAAGCACAGAGAAAACCAGAACTGAAATTCACAACACGCGTATCTGCTTCCCCCAGGCTCAGCTTTACACCACACACGCCAAGATGCATCTGCCAGAGCTCTCCCCATTGGAGTGAGCACCATTCCCTGCCATTGCTCCCTGTGTCCCCAAGGCTCTTTATCCCTTTTTAAACCTTGTTCCGTCCCTTCAGACCCATGCAGGAGCCTTCAGCCAGGCAGATACCACATCAGTAAAAAAAAAATCTTTAATTCTCTTTTTATTGATGGAAAAGTGTTCTTGAATCTTCTCAGTGGGATATAAAAAGCACAAGTGCCCATCATGCCACCAAGGCTACATACCCACCCACAGTGGCCATCAGAGCCTGTGAAATCAGCTTGTCAAATGACTCTGAAGAAACATTTTAAGGACCAGCAGTTTATTAAGGTATACAAATCCTGCAAAATTTTGAGCAGTGAAGAGTTACTATTGTTTTTTAAGCAGCAATGGGGGCATTTTTAGCTATGTGTTTAAAAAACCTGGAGGGCTTCCTTGATGCTGTGGTTAGGTGATACTTTTAACAAGGCTTATTAGCAAATTTCTGAAAGGAAGTTCATCAGTCTTGTGGCTACGATGAAGAATGACAGAAGCTGGAGAGGATGTTGACTTGCAAGAATGTTTCAAATCTGCATGGAGAGTAGATTGACATCAGTCACTCTAGTGGCACCTTCAACTGCGAACATTTTAGGACTAAAAACCAGTTTCCTCAGAACAGTCTGACTGCAGGGTCCCTGCAAAACCACCTTCCAGTGAGATTCCAGTGAGACTTTTCTGTCCCCTCCTTGGTGGAGTTCAGAGTTCAACATGTCAAGAGGATCCTTGTTCTCCACCCCCGGGGAGGAGTTTGTCCTGCTCTCCACTCTTTCCATGCCAGCTCAGTAAATCCTTTTCCCCAGATCACACTGAAGTCACCCACATCCCACCTCCAGCCAGCCATGGCATCCCTCACCAGTGTCCCACCAACCACAGCCATGGAGCAGCACATTCCAGACCCTGCCTTGGGACCAGGCTCACACCCCCACTGCCCAAAGGTGAGCGACAAACCAGAGGAGTGACTGTATACAACTTTTTGTATCTCTGCAGGAACTGGGGCATTTCCTATAAAGGTCCTGTCAAGGCTTGTCCCAGAACAGTTAATCATTATCCAGCTTCTAACAGGGCACATAATGTAGCTGTTTCAACCAGGATTACACCAGCTCAGCCACATATTCAGTTTCTTTTCCCTATCAAGTTTTAAACTAGAATTTCCCCATTGCTACATCCAGATCAGTTACACTCAAAGAGTCTGAAGAACTTGGAGCCCTCAGACTGAGACACCGGTGAATAAACCCAAAAGTGCTTCTGGTTCGTGCCTCATGAATCCCACAGGAGGCTGCCCTGCCCCAGGGTTACCCAGCCTGCCCCCCACTCTGAGGCACAGGGATCTGGGGTACAGTGACTTCCTGCTCCTCCCCTGACAGGAAACAGCACTTCAGGCCTGAGGGAGCTTTAGGGGACCCGCGACAACTCTCTCTCTGTGGTATCTAGCTGACACAGCAACGACATGCAAGGAAGATTTTCTCCAAAGTTCTCCTTTTTTTGGAGCAAAGGACTCTTGTAGGCATGGGATGGCCAAAACCAGACCAATATAGTGGGCAGAAAGGGCGTGGAAAGAGTTTTTTTGTGTCCCAAATACGATCTACTTTTTGGCTATGATTGCTCCTGTTCCTCAGCTTTGCAAATCCCCCCCGATACAGAAATGGGTCTGTATTTCCCTTACCAGCATGGCACACAGCATGGGAATAACTCACCATGGATTATCCCAGATGCAGCTCAGAAGTCTGGTTCTGCAGGAAAGAAGCACAGAGCGTTAGACATGGGGGCTAATGGCACCCCCTGCCCCCACAAGGACTCCCCCAGAAACAGCCCCAGTGTGGCAACCAGCTGCCTTCAGCTGTAGCTGAGGCTAAGCCAACACCATCAGCCCCGACCACTGTTGTGTTTCCTTTGTCCTTCTTTATACTCACACAATATAAAGCAAAAATTCACTTCATGGCCCATCACCTTCTAGTTAAGTTCACCAAGGCAGAGATCGGTGACACGGCATCACCAAATCCCTACGGATTAACACCAGCGTGTGTCCCCTCTGAATCCTTCACAGGTACGTGTAACAGCCTTTTCAGCTAACACCAAGTTAGCTTTCCATCTCTAACACCTTCAAACCCCACTCCGTTACAACACCCTGCTTCCCAGGAAAAGGAACAGAGACAGCACGGATATAAAGCAAGAAGCTCCAGCACACAGGAGGGAAGGCACAACTTACCCCAGAGGTAATTGCGTGGCTCCGGCATGGTGGAATGCGCCACCCTGCAGGAGAAGCTGTCACCCCTTGTGGGGACGAAGGGCACATAGACCAGGCGCTGGAACTGCCACTTCTCGTTGAAGGACAAGTCCCCGTACTTGACGCCGGGAATGGGCTCCCCGTTCTTCAGGAGTTTGATGTCAATCTTGGGTGGGTGAAAGCCAGTGACAAAGCAGTGGAGGGTGTTCTCCTTTCCCTCCTCGGCGCGTGAACGGGCGTAGACTTCCACCTTCGGCGCCTCTGGAGAGAAGGGCGAGGGCGCGTGAGAAGCGGGGCAGCCGTGGGCATCGCCTCGATGCCAACACTCGCCCACCCACCCGGGCACAGTGACCCGGACCCGCCGGGACCCCGCAGCCTCTCACCCCCGTCAGGCCCCTTCGCGCCGCCCCAGGCACTCACCAGCGGCCGCTCCCAGGCCGAGCAGCGCCAGCAGCGCAAGCACACCGAGCGCCAGGGCCCCCCGCGCCATCGCCGCCCGCCGCTGCCTCGCCGTTTCCCGGAATGTCCCACCCCTACCCGCATTCCGCCTTTTATAGCCTCCGAACCCGCGGCCAATCGTGGCGCGGAGTGGCCTCTACGTCATCAGTTTCCAGGTAGAACGGGAGCTCTGGCGTTGTGCGAGCCAGCTTGGAAGCGCTTTCGCTTTCAGTTCCGCCCTGGGCGGGGGGAGAAACCGGGCAGAGACCCCGGGGCGCGGGCAACAGCGGCTGGCCGTGAGCCCGGGTGGGCAATGGCACCTGGTCTGGACCAGCCCCGGTGTGGCCGCAGGCCCAGGGCAGCGCCCGTCCCCTGTGCTGGGCGCTGCCGAGGCCACACCCCAAATCCTGGGTCAGTTCTGCACCTTTCACTCCAAAAAGGACATTCAGGGGGTGGAGCGTGTCCAGGGAAGGGAACAGAGCTGGGGAAGGAGCTGCAGCGCCAGGAGCAGCTGAGGGGGCTCAGCCTGGAGAAAAGGAGGCTCGGGGGGACCTTCTTTCTACAACTCCCTGACAGAAGGGGGCAGCCAGGTGGGATCGGGCTCTGCTCCCAGGGAACAAAGGAGAGGACAAGAGGAAACAGCTTCAAGTAGCACCAGGAAAGGTTTAGATTGGATCTTAGAAAAAAGTTATTCTCTGAAAGGGCTGTCCAGCCTTGCCACAGGCTGCCAGGGCAGTGGCGGAGTCCTCATCCCTAGAGGGATTTGGATTTAAAAGCCCTGTGGATATGGCACTTGGGGACATCCTTGGGTTGGTGGCTTTGGCAGTGCTGGAGGAATGATTTGACTTGATGGTCACAGAGAGCTTTTCCAACTTAAATGGGGGTAAATCTCTTGCAGAAGATTTTGCATCTAGGGGCAGTATTTTGCCAACAGGCTATGGTGGAGCAAGCCATCCACGTTTCTTTTTAGCCTCTTTCCAAACCTGTGTGGTATGTCTCGTTCCAGCAGCTGCAGGGTGGGAAATTGACTGTTGTTCTAGCACAGCAGAGACTCCCTGACAGAAAACATGAGAATTCTGACACCAAAGAAACAGGTTTTCTGTTGCCTCCTTCAGAAGAACTGTGAGCACCGAAGCCCAGTGAGGCTAGGAATGCCACTGAGTGTCCCAGTAGTGCTGCTTGGAAAGAAAATAAAGGGAAAAGAAAGTCAAGTCACTGCTAGTGGGGAGAAAAAGCAGCATGGTGTAAGCACCAAAACACTAAGTCCCTTTAGGACCTCTTAACATACCTCATTAAAACACAAATTAAATTAATACAGCATGTATGGTGAACACCCCAAAGGCAGCAAGTAAATCAGGAGAGGCCAAGCAAAGGAAAATCTTGAAAACACTTGTTATCAGTTCCCACTGGCCCAGCTCCTGCTGGGTTTGCCAGCTACTCAGTGAGCAGTGCCAGCCACGCAGCTGAAAACACTCAATGTTTTTCTCAGTGTGGGATAAACAGCTGCAGCTGTGGCCAGAGCCTTATCAGGGATCTCAGGCTCCGGCAGAAATAATCCCTGAGCGCTCTATCAGTGGCAGAGTTGTTGTTAGGATCATCGCATCAGGAATCACCAGCCCAATCCCGCCGTCCCAGGGGTGAATCTGGCTCTGCCCAAGTGGACACTCCCCTCACCTCGGGGAGAGGATGGCAGGACATGGAACCTTTCCATGGGCCCTTTGGGATGTGAATCCCTAGCAATGACTCTACTGTAACCCACACCACCTGTCAGAATTTCCCAGTAAACAGAAGCACAACTCTTCCACATGATGTTTATTAAAAGCCACAATGATTTGGTTAGAGTAGCCAAATCTTCCATTCTAGGAACATTTCTGCTTTTATTAGCAGAATATTGGGAGAATTATTTGGGAGTGGGCGACATGACCAAGGTGCTCCTGGTATTCAGGAGGATAATTCAGGGGGATAAGGGCAACCCGCTATGCTTTGAGGGACGCAGAAATTTACAGTGTTAGTGTTGACACCTGTGCTCGGTGTTACCTACCAGAATATTCAATCCCGACAGACCACATCCCACCAGCTTTCCCTAACTCCTCAGAAGGATATCAGCTCTGAGAAGAGCACGGCAGCCGAGGAGCAGCGGGGGAAGCCGGGCTGGGCGGCTCCGAGCGCCGCAGGTGCGGCCACCGCGCCCCCCGGCCCGCGCTGCCCCCAGCTCCAGGGGCTGCTGGGGGCACGGCCAGGCCAGTGCGCAGGCGCGGGACGCCGCTGGGAGCCGCCATGCTGTACGGCAGGCGCATGCCGGGGCGGCGGGGCCGGCCCATAAAAGGGGCGGCGGGGGCACTGTGGCCCCGTAGAGGGACCCGGGACGGACGGAGGGTGGGTGAGCGGGAGGAGGAGGCAGCAGCACCAGCGCGGGATGGCGGAGGGCGGCGAGAGCGTTGTGAGTGCCTACCCGCCCGC